CGGCGGCAAGCGCAGCCCCCGGGGGCTTCGGGCGCCTCTGCCAGCCGAGCTCTGTTCCGGCATGGGAGCAAGGAGGCGGGAGCCCCAGCTGGGGCTGCCGAGGAGCATCCGGGCTGCCCGCCAACCTGTAGGGTCTTGACTTGCGAATTTCCTGGGTTTTTTTTTCTCTAAACTTTTTGGTACGTATCTCAAGTCTCCGTTCGCAAGTCAAAATGGATTTTTGCGGACGGAGAGGTACGCAACTCAAAAAGTTCGCAAGTCAAGCCGTTCGCAAGACCCCACTGTATCACTGAATCCTAAGGTAACTTTGCTGGGTTATACAAAAGGATTTTTAATGAATCAAATAGTGAAGTGGTCTCACTTACATGTTGCTGTTAAGATGACTGACTCAGCAACAAAAATCAAGCTGCAGTTACATCATGTCCGGACTACTGCAGTGTTGTCCACATGGGCCTACCTTTGGAGAGGGTCCAGAATCTTCACTTGATTTAATATGCTGCAGCTAGGCTGCTAACTTATGCATGGTATCATGATCAACTGACCCCATAAAGATCTTCGTGCATCACCAATTGCTTACCAGCCCATTCAAGATGTTGATTTTAACCTTCAAAGCCCTAAATGGCTTTGAGTGTAAGGCACAACTTGTCTTGTTATGAGCCTGAGTATTTTACAATTTAATTATGCGGGCTACACATTCCGCCCCCCAGCAAGTAATCTGGGTACTCAATTTATCGACCTTGGAGAGATGGAAGGCTGAGTGAGCCTTGAGCCAGCTACCTGGGATTGAACCCAGGTTGTGAGCAGAGTTCTGGTTACAGTACTAAAGTTTAACCACTGTGCCACAAGGCTCCTAGAATGCAGCCTCTTCAGAAATGTTTAAGCTTTGATTCAACATCTCTTTAGACTGGGATATGATGATTAACTGGGCCTTCTATGTTGTTTTTAACTGTACATTTGGTTAATTTTAATTGTTTTATGGTATGGTGGGGTTTAACTGATTTTATGATTTTACAGTTAAAGATGGTTTTATTTCTTTTTATTCTTCTATGAAGATATTAGATGCCTAGAGTGCTACTTCCTAGTGGAAAGGGTAGAAAGAAAGAAATATTTTTTAAAAAAAGCCCTGTTCTGTAGATAACTGGTTTAATCATATGTTGAAGAACACTTTGCTAACTATAGTGATAGAGTCTCAGAAGATGCAAAGAAATTATTTGCAAGGCACACATACATTTTTACAACCAATGGGCAATGTTATGCGTTGGAGTGGGAAAGTGAGAAATGGACAACGTAATTGTAAACACAGCACATCTGCATACTCTCTTGGCTCAAGAGTTAAATTTGGAGAAAGCTTCATGATAATTAGTTCTTAATAAAAGGACAAAAAATCTAGACGGTGACTTACACATTCAAAGTTTAAGGCTGGAGAAAAGTGACAGATCAGTTAGGAAAACTAGCAATGAAACCAATTAAATTACTAGTCACCAACCTCAAATAATTAGAGATCATACACAACCAAGACAGAGAAACTAGAGAAATGTACCTAACACTTTAATTAAAGGTTAGTGTATTTTCCATAAAGTTGTGAAGTATTTAAATAAGTTTCTCAAAGTTCTTGAGATGGGGTTTTCCATCTAAAACTTTCCTCAGCACTCTTGGTGATTTCACATGAAATTTCAGAACAGACATAGGCTGTATGTACCAAAGGACAATGGCTCAGTAGAGATTAAACACCCAGCCATAGTTTTCTGTTATAAAAAAAAGGGAATAACAAGTCTTGGACATACTTTCCCCTACTTTTCAGCCCCCTACCTTTGAATATGAGTAGATCTTTTTGTTCCCTATGTAATCGTCTATCTATCTATCCATCCACCCATCAATTATGCTCTCTTTTTCCCAGAACTACAATCCAAGGCACCTTATGATATAGTTCAGGCTTGTCCAACCTGCAGCCTGTGGGCGGCATGCAGCCCAGGTCGGCTCGTAATGCGCCCCAGTGCAATTTTTTATTTTTAAAAAAATTCCATAGTTTCAAGTTACACTGCCGGAGCTTGCGGCCGGAATGCAGCCGGGGCATGTCACAACAGTAGGGGGGAGAGAGGGAAGGAACGAAGGAGAGGGGAGGGGAGAGGGGGTCTGCGTGACTGCATTGCGCCATCTCCGTCAATAGGTGGACCCCCTCCCGGCCCCATAAAGCCGCCGGAGTCGAAGCTGGCAGCCTCTGCTGTCTGAGATCGCAGCTGCCAGTAAGCATGCTTGCAGCGCGGCTGTGGAGGACAGCTAGAGTTGCCCCGCCATGCGGCCCAAACCAAATTTATGTGCGGCCCAAACCAAATTTTCATCTTCTAATGTGGCCCAGGGAAGGTGAAAGGTTGGACACCCCTGATATAGTTGAAAACAGTTATCATTAGAATGTTGCACAGATACACAAACAATGTAACTTTTAGAGACAAATTGCCATAAATCAAAAAAACTCCATAGACACAGCCTGTTGAACTCTGAATTGTGTAACTCAGTATACACCAGATTATATCTATGGAGATTTCTTAACTCACAGCAACTTGCTTCCAAAAGTTATACCCACTCCTTAAACAAAAAGCAAAAACAACGCGTGCTGCTTATATACTGCCCCATAGTGCTTCAAGCACTCTCTGGGTGGTTTACAAGTTAATTTTGCAGGCTACACATTGCCCCCCCCCCAGCAAGCTGGGTACTCATTTTACCAACCTCGGAAGGATAGAAGGCTGAGTCAACCTTGAGCCGGCTACCTGGGCTTGAACCCCAGGTCATGAGCACAGTTTTGGCTGCAGTACAGCGGTTTAACCACTGCGCCACGAGGCTCCATCTCATATACTTCAAAACCCTATTACTGTCATCTTCAGTTGGAAGTCACTTGACAGCATTTACTTATTTATTTATTCAATCATTTTCTTTTCATTTATATACCACCCCATTAGTACACAGCACTATCCTGGGTGGTGTACATATATAAAAAACAAATTATCACAAAACAGTAAAAAAAATATAAAATATAAAAGCCAAGATGAGCAGCCAGCAGAAATAAATTGGTTATAACAACAAAATTTAAAAGTACATTTTTCAGAATAAATATAAAATTCTGTGCTGCTGCATTGTTTAAGTCCTGTGCAGCTCCTAACCTTGTATTCATATCAATTTCCAATACCTGAATGTACTGGAAAAGATTTGTATGAGTTTGTTTATCAGTATAAGTGTTCTCCCAACGTTCACTTCAGCTGCAGTAATTTATTTATTTCTAGAAATATTGATCTGTATACATGCACAGTTAAAGCACACAGACACACCGTTGTGCTCCTTTTTGTACAGGAGAACAAGCCAGATATCTTAATGCTGTATATCAAATATGATAAGTGTTAAACATTGCTACACTTTTACCATATCACAAATATTCTCTTACTCTTAGTTTGCTATGGCTTTGAGACAGCAAACAGAAAAGCATGCATGCTAGTTTTATTATTAAAATATAATTTTCACCCCACCAGCTTCCTAAAAGCAGTGCAAAAAAAACCCCTCCCTTAACCTTTTCCAGTACCTGAAGTCTAGTGTTCATTTCCAAGAAGTAGAAGTTCTTTTTCGAGTCTACAAGGAATTCCACTGTTCCAGCAGATGAGTATTTTACTGCTTTGGCAAGAGCTACAGCTTGTTCTCCCATTGCTCTGCGTGTCTCAGGATCCAAGAAAGTGCTAAAGAGGAAGGAGGGAAATATGTGAAGGCTTTTTTAATTGGTAGCAAACTTGACTGATTTTTTCAGACATCCAGATACAAGAGAAGAAAGTAACTACAACCTCTATCAGACAGTCAAGAACAGCTTTAGAAATTCTGTTGCCTCTATTGACACAGAGCAGAAGCCATTTTTCCAGTCCTAGGATCTTTTGAGGCCTGCCAGAACAAGATATTTCCTTCCCCACCCCCACTGCCTTAGTTTAGAGAAGAACTGTGTCTCCAGAGGAATGAGCCTCCCTTGGAAGTGGGAGCTCTGCAACAGCTATAGGAGAAGTGCTGTTGGATCTCTACTTGATGCAGGGTAAATATGCCAAAGGGGGGTGGGGACATGTTTCTAAAAATATTCACTCAAATCTATTGATCAAGGTTAAAGTTGATAAAGCCACTTATTTTGAAAGTGCCAGTTGATAAAAATGTTTAAATATTAGTCTTGTGGTTATGTCAAAAGAATATTTCTTATAATAACTATCCTTCATATTTCTCAAATTACTTAGTATATTATAAAAAATAAAGCAGTATTAATAACTGATAGAATTTTAGTTGTTTATATGGGGAGCAAATACATGTGAGAGCAGGCCTAATAAAGAGCATGCATACGTCTTTGTATACATGTAGCTTCTTCTACTCCAAGAAACCCAGAGTTATTAACATGAGACTTTCAATGGTATCCCAAACAAGAACTAATGACATTAAGACTTGTTCATCTTAATCAAAGGTACCATACCAACTGCTCCCCTATTCTCATATCCCATCTTCTCAATAGATGAGGTTATGCAATATCTCCAATCTGCAATGGTTTATGCGTCCATACACAATGTGTAGATGTATATATTTTTTCTCATGCAGAATGAGTTGACATTATAGATAGCTGGATATTTCAATGAAAAACTTGAAATGAATTTTTAAAGTTTAAAACTGAATTGCAGCAATGCTTCAACTTTAGCCTATAACACTGAATCTGACATACAATGACAGTAACAGCTTGCATCTTAAATTATTCTTTCAACTTTACCCTAAAGCTGAAAGTTTTAATTTTCTGTTTTTCTTACTTTGATTCATCTGTTCCACACAGCATGGCTCCCCCTTTCCTCTCCCTGGGCACAGCTGTTTCTCCTGCCCTAGAGTGCAGTTGTGGAATCCTCTTGGGATTCACTCTTAAGACCATTCCCCAGCCAGCCAGCTTCCTCACTACAGGATGCAAAATATATCATCTTCCAGAGGCCAGAGGCTTGCAACTCAGAAACACACATTTTGTCAATACTTCTTCACACACTATTCCAGTGGTGCTTCACTCAAAACTTTTTACTAACCTGTGCAAACCTTCATGACCTCTACCTACCAAATCCTGGAAGAAGTTACTTCTGCCCTCACTCTTGAGTTCCAGGTATCTAAACATATTCAGGGTTTATTGAAAGCCAAATCCACCCATCTGTCTCCACTCATATTCTCTCCATTTCTAAGGAAAGGCCAACCATTATTATGTTTCTTATTGCGCGATACCAAAGAAATGTAGTAATCTGAACAGCAAGGAAGTCAGAAAATAAGTCATGCAACTGGAGGCAGTTTCTGCATTCCAAGGGGTTTTAAAATATGTGTTTATTGTATTCCTATGAAACAGCTAGGCTGCATAAAAGAATAAAGATAAATAAAGCCAGTGTGCCTGCTCATCATATAACAAAACATGACAAACAGGAAGGAAGGAAGGAAGGACAGAGAAGAGAAATGGCAGTAAAATAAGAAAGGGGAATGAACGGTGGAACCTCTACTTATGAACTTAATCCGTCCCAGAAAATGTTCATTAGTTGAAACGTTGGTAAGTAGAAGAAAAATTTCCCATAGGAATGCACTGAAAACCATTTAATCCATTCCGGCTGTTTTTAGATCTTAAGTCGAGGTGCCATTCTTAAGTCAAAGCATTAGTTCCCATAGGAACTAATGCAAAGCCAGTTAATCCATATCTACCACTAGGGGACAAGGTGAACTTAGGTCAGAAAAAGGTTGGTTGGTTCTTAAGTCGAGGCTCTGTTCTCAAGTTGAAGCAATTTTTCGAACGGAGCCATTCTTAACTCAAATTGTTCTTATGTAGGAACGTTCTCAAGTCAAGGTACCACAGTATTTCAACAGCTTCTGAAGTTTTAATTTGTTAATCCTTCTGAAACACTACTGCTATATGTTCTATTTTCTCCTTGAAACTAAAAAACAAAAACTTTCTTTGGTAAACATGCTATAGAGTACTGAGGGCCTGCTCTAATACTCATGAACCCACTGAATTTCTGTTTATTTTAGAGGTGCATCTCTGACACACACACACACACACACACACACACACACACACACACACACACCCCTATCTGTTATTACACACAAGCTTGGGTCTGCAGTATACCTTAACATGTGCACAGAAGGTGCATTTTGCCATGTATTGGCAGCTACATGCACAACCTGGGATGTTGCTCCAAAGGGACCTCAACTAATGGGTGGGGGAAGACTTTTCAGAGACCTGCTCCTACTAGGAAAAAGTCTGTGACTAAATACAAGCAACACTGTGTTTCTCTACCCTGTTTCCCAGAAAATAAGACCTAACCTGAAAATACTTTAAGCTCTAGTATGATTTTTCAGGATGTTCATAATATAAGTCCTACCCCAAAAAGAAGCCCCAGTTAAATGAAACTTCGTCCTGCACCATTGTGCAGCAACCAGAAGAAAATGACATGACTGTATTTGAATAAATGTAGATTGTTGTACACGAAAAAATAAAACATCCTCTAAAAACGTGCCCTAATGCGTTTTGGGGGCAAAAAATTAATATAGGAGCCTGTCTTATTTTCATGGAAACATGGTAGATCAGTGGTTCCCAACCTTGGGTGCCCAGATGTTCTTGGACTAAAACTCCCAGAACCATTCACCACTAGCTGTGCTAGCCAGGATTTCTGGGAGCCTCACTCCAAGAATGTCTGGGGACACAAGGTTGGGAGCAACTGCTCTAAATCAAAGGGGTAGAGAAACATAATGTTGCATCTACTTAATGACTGAAGTAGAACTAGGAATCAGTGTGGTATGGTGTTTAAACAACTGAAACTGGCAGTAGTAAAAGAGAGCCAAAGTAAGTCTGCATTAAGCCATGAAACTCACAGAGAGATCCCAAGCAAGCAAAGTCATCCTCAGTGGATTGTCGTGAAGTTAAAAATGAAGAGGAGGATTAAACAGTATCTTGGAGGAAAAGCGAGAGGAGAGTCATGCAAGTTCCCTTGAATTCATTGGTAGAAAGGCAGGGTGTAACAAACAGTAAATGAATAGTACTATATTTATTTAAACATGCAATTTCTCTAAATGTCCAGTCCATGGCCCAACTCAAACTAAGAGTGTAAAAGTTCAATGAAACTATATCATATAAACAGGAATACTGCAATGATTAGAACTTATTTATTCATTTTGTTTAACAATTGTCCTAAGAAATATGGACAACTTGAAACTAGCAACTGATTTATTGATATTAATTTTCTTGCTATTCAGATTTTAGACAACTAAACATTGAGAAATATTTATTCACATAGAAAAGGACATACTCACCTTGGTGCTTCTTCAATCACTTTCTGGTTTCTTCTCTGAATAGAACATTCTCTTTCATTCAGCCATAATGCATTGCCATGTTTATCACCCAAAACCTAGTGGAAGGTCACTGTTAATAACTAAATGCATTGCTTCTCTCTCTCTCTCTCTCTGCCTCAGTACCATCACTGACAATGGAAATATTGCATTCTATTCATAAAACTATACAATGGCTGGAATCATGTTGTTTAGCATAAGTAAGCTGCAACTAGAGTGGACCCACTGTATCAACAGAATTTACAGAGGAGTTCACTAACCAAATCTCCACTGATACATCGGGCCTACTCCAGTTGTAATTTACTACACTGACCTACAGAATTTAGATCAATACATATTTCAGCAAAGTATCTGTTTTGCATTCACATTATTCAGAGTTGCTCATTGCTAGCTTCACTGTTCCATTCCAGGAAAAAGCTCAGGCTGGTAAAAAAATCTTAGGTTTCCAAGAACCAAGGATCCACACTTTTGGTATGCCCATTAAATAGGAGAAACCCATGCAATTCAGTAAAATGCTCTTAAAATTCTTCTTTGTTTCAAAAACAAAGGCAGCTACTAACTAGGCAAAACTTTTCAATCCTGTATATTGCATTAGAAAATAGTCCAAAGTGTTCTAAGTAACATTTGGATTCTATTCATATTACTTTGTCAGCAGTGAGTTGAGTTACTTTTTATCTAAGCTTTCTAATATATACACAAAATATCTGTTATATGAAGTTATTGAACTACTGTCAAAATATATATATGACAGAAGTTACAAGAATTCTTTCTGTGTTTTTGACCGGAAAGAACAGAACTTTAAGGAGTTTTATGTACAATATAGATTTCTTGTCAGACAATGTTAACTCATCACTAACCATATCTATTATTACATTCTGCATATTAAGAGACACAATTCACTATGCAGAGGTTATGGTTCTTCAGCTAAACCTTTGTTTCTTACTATACAAAATCACGTTTACTAAATAATTAAGAAAAGCAAACAAAAAGACAAAATTTAGCAATCTATGTTTTGCAACAGCAAAATATTGGTAAGGATGACACAAACCTGAATTTCTATATGACGAGGGTTATCAATAAACTTTTCTATTAATAATCGATCATCGCCAAAACTTGAGGCAGCTTCTTGAGAGGAAAACCTAAACCCTTCCCTTCAAGACAAAACAAATGAAACACTTAAAATCAAATATGCATAAGCAGACTGAAAAAACATCTCTGGCAGTTCATGCAAGAATACAGCCTGTGCTCACAAAAAACCTCAGGTACAAAAATACAATAGTTTAGGTACATCATTTTGAATTATACTCAGAACAACTTCTCTTTCAGGGGAACCCAGATTAGTCAGTCCCATTCCTGTTCTACTTCCACTAACAAGCAATGGAGTATTATTCAGCCAGACTTTGGGTAACTGACTGGCTGCAGAAGGAAGTGCTTTTACAAAGGTGCTTCTCGCTTACAAGTTTATCCCTCTTGTAGCTACTTGCCTAACCTCTTCAGTGGAGGCACTGAGAAGTAAGCCTTCCAAAATGCCCAACTGGTGCAGGCACGTATGGAAGATGATTCTTTACGTCAGGGATGGGCCACTTCCACGGGTCAAGGGGCCACATTTGTCCTACCAAAACTTACTGAAGGCCACATGGGCAATGAAAGCAAAATTCAGTTTATCCCATGAAAACAAAATGCCCAGGGCATATGTCTTGCTTCTAAAGCTAGTTACTCTTCAAGAAGTTTCCAAGCGGCACCTTGTAAACCACGTCGGTGCACCCCATCTGTCTTATTTTGTGGGGAATCTTGCTGCCATCATGCCAAATATGATGGCAAGAAACACAGAAGCATCTGGAATAAAACATAGAAAGCCCACATGCTTAACAGTGCCCATGCCTCCTTTAGAAGTTCTGTCCACCATGCTGTTTAAGACTCTTTTCCTAATTAATTTCAGTGAGTGCAGACCACATCAGTGAGGTTGTGATTTTTTTGCCCTGATATGTGTAACTGACACTAGGTCTTGTTTGTCATTCTGTCAACCACTCATCTAATCTGCAGCTCTCCACATTCCTTACATTTTCATTATACTGAAAAATACAATGTTATTTTACTTCTTATCAGTTCACCCAATTCTGGATCATTTATTAATAAATTGTGAAAACTATCAATTAACTTCCACCTTTGTTTCTGCTTCTTTAGCTTGTAACTAAGTCCTAAAAATAGGTATTCTTTCATTTTTTTTCTTTCTGAAGTGTACTGGGGGGGGGGGGTCTCCTGTCTCTGAGTTCTGGGAAGATCATGACCAAGATCCCATTAAATACTGAGCAAAATAGCTGCATGCAAAGAAGCAAAGATGCAAAGAGAAACAAGTTAGCCAGCTTCCATAACAGGCAACTTCAGCATTCAGAGGGGGCTCATGGATATCAAAGTTGGATTCAGGTTCCCAACTGGCAATTGATGGGCACATCAGTCTGCCAAATCACACCACCTTGCCAAATTATACCCACTGGACCAGACACACTCATAAAAGGAGACATGGGATTATTCTGTATGTGAACAAGTAGAATGTAAAGTTGCTTATGCAAAACAAGCTGCATGAATGATGTACTGGAAAAGGAGCCCAGCCTCTGAGTCTATCTATACATGTTACAGATTTTGTTTTTCATACAGATAAGACCAAAATGTCAGACTGCACAACACCAAACACAATCTCTCAAGTGCTCACCACTTGCATACATTTTATATTCTTACCAAAAGATTTTGTGTCATTAAATTCAGTATTATTTTCACTGTTAAGAACAAGACTACTTTTATTTGTTTGTTTGTTTTTTGTTTGTTTGTTTATTGGCTTCCTTCTGTAAGCATTTTGTTAGATGATTCATACAACTGGTTTTAGTTAATTGACGCATATGCTGATTTAATTTATTGATTGCAGTCCTTGTTCGTTTTTCTTTTGTTAAAATCAATAAGCCTAATTATACAATCTGTAAATCTTTGAATCCTAGAAGTATGCACACAGCCGAAGTGAAGTATTAAAACTTATTTTTATACTGGCTTATAAAGGCCCATTCACTTCTATAAATGTATCCTGAACTGCAAAGCAAGGCAGTGAACTTGCTGTCATTCTACGCGCTCATATTTTCTTACACTGGCAAGTGCCCTGATTTTGGGAGGGGAAGGCGGGAAGCATTGTTCATCAAAATATCCAGATGAATCCATCTGCCTTGCTGACCACAAGATAGTGCTGTCAACTAAGGGAGATGAATCCTTTGGAGCTACAGCAGCTGTTTAACATTCCCACTAAGCGACTGCTCTTCAACTGGTGAAGCATAACCCAGAACTGGGTCATGCACTGATCTATAGCGGATGAAGCAGCTGCAACACCCTCCCTCCTACCTTTTCATGCTTACATTTTAAGGAAAGGAAAGGAAAAAGAGAGAACAGAAAGGCGAAGAATACAGGGGGAAAATGGAAGCACATGTGGTTAAAAAAAAGAATTTTTTAAAAAATTATGAGCCTTTTTTCTGTGAATTAATTGCATGCCAGAAACGAATCATTACTTGCCTTGAATATGTGGTAAATTGCCACATTACTCATGATAGAAAGGTTACCTACCTGTATTACTCATGATAGAAAGGTTACCTACCTGTAACCATGGTTCTTCTCGGTGAACCTCTGTGAATACACACAAATTGGGTTGTTCTGCGCCTGCGCAGAACGTCTCAGAAATTTCTAGAGCTTCAAGAAGATTGACAATTAAGATACACCCCCAGAGTGCAAGCTCCGCCCCTCCAATCTTCCCCTCAGTTCCTTCCATAGAACGCCGCTGTCAAATTAGCATAAACATATACCTAGACAACATGACAGACAGAAGGGAGGAAGGGAGGGATGTGTGAATTCACAGAGGTCCACTAGAAGAACCATGGTTACAGGTAGGTTACCTTTCTTTTTTCATAATGGCCTCTGTGAATGCACACAAAATGGGTGACTGACAAGGTCACTTACTGCATGGTGGGCCGTCACGGCAGCAGAGATGTCAGGATTGCCCTGCCAAATGCAGCATCATTCTTAGCCCTGTGTATTCGAAGTTCCTGACAGTGTGCTCCCCATTCTGAGGGGCTGGCATCTGTAGTTTTTCGTATCGATAATCTTAGTGGCTTGAAGGGTCTGCCTACAGTCAGATTCGGGGTGGATGTCCACCAGGTAAGTTGGTCTTCCAATTCTGGAGTCATTATTAAACTTTTCTATTGATCAAAGGGGCGAATGGGGATAGAAACCAAGCCTGGAGTGACCTCATTTTGAGTCTTGCGTGAGTGATGATTGCAGTTGTAGAGGCCTGAGACCTAGTAGGTGTTGTGCTCTGCGTGCTGATATGCTCTGTGTGTTGTGTGCAGTTGGAACGGACGAACAGCTTTTTGTATCTTCAGAATTCTTTGTAGAGGCAAGAACACTCTTGTTTTTATAGAATCCAGATCTGCCCCTATGTAGCTGATCCTTTGTGAAGGTTCCAGCTGAGATTTGTCAAAGTTTATTTTCAGACCTAGCCTTTGCAGTGTGTCCAAAGTGATTTCTGTAGCTTCAATGGCTTCGTGATATGAACGAGCCACTATAAGCCAGTTGTTGATGTAAGGGAAGATGGTAATCCCTTGGAGTCGAAGATGGGCCACTATAGGATCCATGCATTTTGTGAATGTTCTTGGAGCTGTCAATAGCCCGAATGGTAGGGCACAGAACTGATATGTTGCATTCTGGAATCGAAATCTCAGGAATTTTTGATGAGTGGGGCGTATCAATACATGGAAGTAGGCATCCTTCAAATCGATGGCTTCTTCATATATATTCAGGAAACCTTGTCTTACGTCCTCAGGAACCAACTGAAGTGCCAGTAAAATCCGTAGCCAAAGTTGTTTTTGGTAAGCCCCCAAGGCTGTTTGGTAATTTGTGACATGGAGGAGGAATGAGACAAGTGAATAAATTTTTCCTCCAAGTACCTCTAATTTTCTGCCCTCTCTGTTTATTGGAGTTACATGGGATTTTCCAGTTGGTCTTGAGCACTAGTTTCAACTACCAGAGAGTTGGGGATAGGATGTTTGAGAAGAAAATTAGTGTCATCCCTATGGACGTGGTACAAATTCTCTGTGCGTCTAGATATAGGAGCTGACGTGGATGGCTGGTTCCAAGTGTCCTTAATAATATCCATTGAGGCTGATAAAAATGTTAGGCTAAGTGGTGGAGATCTTTATTGGTTTATGTCCCCAAATATCAGATCCTCTGTAGGTGGAACAGGTTGTCCAATGTTTATTTTGAGGGTTTTTGCCAGTCTTGAAAGCATCTGGGAATATGATGAAAAGTCCTCAGAAAGAGAGGAAGCATGGTTGTCAGCAGCATCAGATTTAACTACCTCTCCGTCTGGTAATTCTTCCATTGATGGTTCTTGAGGGACATCATTCTCAGGAGCAGAGTAGTCAGGTGAAAATACGTCCTCTTGATCTGAGGTCGAAGTATGATGAAGCCTCCTGTGTGAATATTTGTCAGCGTCATGTGAAGAAGAAGCAGTCTGCTGGGAAGATTGCCCAACAGTCGACGCCAAAAACAGAGGAGCTGGCTCAGCTGGACACTTTCTAGCATCCCTGGTGATGTCCTTTCTTTTGTCGATGTCGAGATGCTTTCGACACCCATGACTGCGGGGAGATGTTGATGGAGAAGAAGAGGTGGAAGAAGCGTATACATATTTCACCCCTTCCTTCTTCTATGTCTCTCGTTCGATGTCAAGGAGGTGTCCGAAGAAGAGTAGTCTCTTCGGTGTCGACATCGATGTTTTTTATGCCTCAGTTCGTAATGGTCAGATTTGTCAGATCTCTCTCTATGTCGGCATTGAGATGACCGAGGAAATACCACCACCTCACGTGGAGGAGATCGACGCCAATCCAGAGAAATATGTTTGGTCTTGTTTGATTGCTTTCAAGACGGAGAGTTCGGTCTCAAAGCAACAGAAGACACCAATGGAGCCAAAGATGCCCGCCCAATTGACACAGGGCTGTGAGGGGCAGAAGCCAAACCTGCAGTAGCACATGCAAGCTGGCTCGGCGTCAGAGAGGAGACGCCTTCAGGTGGTAATGGCTCAGCTTGTCTCGGAGGGAGCAAAGGTGCTGCCTCCAAGAAGGACTCTCGATCTCGAGAGGAGTCTTCAAAAATAGGAGAAGGTAGCGATGCAGAAATCGGGGGCAACTGCTTGTGATGGTCATTGGCTTTAACTGCAGCTGTTGTTTTTGTTTTTTTAACAGGCTTGGAAGAGGAAGCCTTGGTCATCTTCGATGCCGAGGAGGCTGATTTCTTCACAGTAACAGGCTTTTTCGTTGGCTTATCAGAGGCTTTACTGAGGGAGGATTGAAGTGAGCCATTCCAGATCTCTGAACGAGGGGTTGCAGCAGGAGAAGAGATTTCCATCTCTGACGGCTTTGACAAAGAGAGGGTGGTATCCCAGAAGTGATATTTAACTCTCTGCTGTCTAGCTTTTAACGCAGCTTTAGGAAAACCTTTACAATGTTTACAGGATTGGGTTAGGAGGGCTACCCCTAAACAAAAAAGACAGCAGTCATGCCCGTCAGAGAAAGAAAACTTCCTAGAACAAACAATGCACCGGCTGAAGGGTCCGGAACGAGACATAAGCTGGTATGGCAAGGAATAGTCCTATTTTAGATGTAGCGCGGTGAGGCAAAGAGGTGGGAAAAAATCGAGGCAACCAAGTTAGTGGAGAAACACAATAGGAGAGATCAGGCGAACAGTCCAAGGTCAGGGCAATGGAAAACGGAGTAGTCAGACGAAATTCCAAGTTCGATAGCCATAAAATTCAGTCAAAAAAATAGGTGAAGTAACAAGCTCGATGAGAGAGGCTCCAAACCGCTTGGCAGAAAAATGGAACTGAGGCTTTGGCGGACGGAGCATGTGCATTACAGGCAACCTAAACTTTGTTATTTTTCTATTAAAAGCTCGAGAAGATTCCGAGAGGTCCAGTGCAGGCGCTGATTTAACCCTTTTGTGTGCATTCACAGAGGTCACGATGAACTATCCCTTTCATGCGCTAAATCTGATACCCACATGCAAAGTTTGTTTTAAAACATCTAATTGTTTATATTTTGAAAAACAATATAAATCACATAATTTTTTATCTGATAGAATTGTTAGGGATACATGGTTATCATTTCATATAGTATGCTACAAAACTAGCTTTGAAAAATCTTTGAGAAAAAAATTATTACATGTATGATGTCCAGTTAACACTTATATTTGAAAGGGGGAGTGATTGGCTTTGTTATACCTAGAAAAATATTTCTTATTTACATAAGAGGAAATCTGGAAGATGAGTAAAAATCAAAGCTTAATGTTTGAAGTTCTTTACTTTGGAAAAGTCCTCCAAATATCATGAAGGCCACTCAACAAACTGAAGTTGCTAAAAGGTCACAATACCTGCAATATCTCTCAAAATTCAGACTGCACGTGACATGAGTGGGCTGTAAGAAACAGAATGGGGCTGTTCTGACAATAAATTAAGACTACTAAGAGAAGATGCTTTCATGACAATGAGCATCAATTGCGAAAGCATAACACAAATATAGTGATCCCTGTTCCCTACCCTCCACATGAGTACCCCTGTGGAGATTTTAAAAATTATTCACTTGCTGCATTAGGATTTTTCCTTTCCTCATTTCTTCCAAGGAATATAAGCAGTAAGGTAAAGGTAAAGGTTCCCCTTGACATTTAGTCCAGTTGTGTTCGACTCTAGGGCGCAGTGCTCATCCCCATTTCCAAGCTTTAGAGCCAGCGTTTGTCCATAGACAGTTTCTATGGTCACGTGGCCAGAGAGACTAGACACTTAACACCATTAACTTCCCACCATGGTGGTGCCTATTTATCTGCTTGCATTTGCATGCTTTCGAACTGCTAGGTTGGCAGGAGCTGGGACAAGCAACAGGAGCTCACTCCACCACGTGGATTTGATCTTACGACTGCTGGTCTTCTGACCTTGCAGCACAGAGACTTCTGCGGTCTATTTGCACAATTGGGCCAAAATCACAAGCAACACCTCATTAATGAGTGGCAATTCTGCAAATGTAAATAGGCAACAGGATTCTGACCCACATCGTTTGAGGTAGGTATGCTTGATAATAACTTAGCCAAGGCAATCAAGGAAATTACAGAGCTGGACAGGCATATGAAACCATGTCTCCTCTCACTCATACCTTATTTTTTTTTAATGTTAGCTTTGTGCCATTTATGTTCCTGATTGTTAATAAGTGCCAACCACCATAAAATTAGTAAAATGTGATGCTTAAAAAATTAAAATGGCATTACATCCACTAGAACCTTTCAGTATTCCACAGCAAAACAATGTTGGAAGATCAGCATTTTATACAGCATAAGTACATCAAGTTTCACAGACCTTACTCACAGAAAAGTATAAAAAACAATTGTAATAAGGTTCTATTGTCTTAAACAGCTTGAAGACAACTATTAATGTCAATAAAGTACATACATTTTTGTGTTAGACCCACAGAACTATTTCGTTAGCAGAGTAAATTCTTGGAACCACTAATTTAAGGCTATGTTTTAAATTAGTCTGTTTACTAAATTCTTGAAACTGTACCCAAAGGAAGCTGTGGCTTGTTCAAAGTGAACAGTGGATGAACCAAGGCTTCTTCAAATTTTTCTAATCCCACATATTTATTGAAAATACTCTTATTCTACCTCTCTAAAAGCTCTGTGTGGCTTCCAACATTATTAAAATTCCAAACAACCCCCGCAAATTAAATATAACACACATATTCCTAATTTTACACAAGATACCCAAACACTCTTAAGTTTTGGCACACATCAAACAATGCCTGTTAAAATGATGGATTTCTACTAAATCAGACAGTTTAGACATGGCTCCTTTTTGTCCTCTGTAAGTCAAACTGCTCTCTCCCCTTATATCGCATGATCTGTGGGGTAAGGAAAGGGTGCAAATGCAAAGCCAATGTAACATTAGCAGAAAGACATCTGGCACCAAATGGAAATAAACAGTGATTCTGTTTCCTGGGGCCTTCTACAAACAAGGCAGACATCAGTAGCTATTGATCCCACACATGCCCAATTTTTAGGTCAACAAAAACTAGCATCTGTAATATAAAATTTGTTATTATAATTTACAGTAGTTGTTTTTAAAAATATTTTAAAGCCATTCCATAACCCTACTTTTGTAAGAGGACTGGTTCATACCAAAATTATTTAGGTGGCTTTAAACTAAGTGCATGATCCAGCCTACCAAGACACCTTCCCCTCAAATAGGTTTCCTGTTGCCCCCCTGCCCCTGACAGAAGTCACACACAACACAGCTGTATGTACCAAATGGCATATAAAGGCCAAGCACTGGTTGTAGTTTCCTCTAAAGATCGTGTTGCATATTATTTCATGAGGATGGACCAAAAGGCACTTTGCATAAATAATCACAGGTCCCTCACTGTAATTTTCATTGATTCATACACATCTATGTCACTATTGTTTGGAATCTTAAAAAGTATTTTAACTGCATTTACTTTTTTAAAAAATTAACTTTCTTCCAATTAATAGTGGATTATCTTCTCCCCTGAGCCAAGCTGTATCAAAAGCCACTAAAGCAGTCTGAAACACCATGTGGCACAGGGGTGCTGCTGTCCAAGAGACATAGGTCTCAATTTCACTTTTACACACCATAATGTAACACATGCTGTAATATAGCAAGGTATACTACCCACTTAGTTCTTTGGATCTACACCAATACTATTATCTAAGACAAGATTTCCTGCAACTCAAATAACTGCAAAACTGTGTACTGTTTGCAAGGGAAGGGAGACTGTCTTCATTCCCTGCTTACAAGATTCCTGGAAACCTCTGGCTGGCCACAAAATGGTAGATTGGATCAGGAAATCCGTGTCCTTCATGACTACAGAATGAAATTACTACAAAATGTTTTCAATGATTTATTAGAAAGTAATCATTTAATCACTGTATTGCCCCAATACTAACTATATTTTTCAAAAATATATGTAGTAAAAACTTAATATGCCAGTTTAAATGTCATAAAATCACCCAATCAAGAAAAAAAATTATGCACTAGAACTGGTTATGGACCTCTTTTATTCTTCGCTGATAAAAGTTAAATACACTGTTTCTCTCCGGGACTACAGTGGGGTCTTGACTTGAGAACTTAATCCGTATTGGAAGGCGGTTCTCAAGTTAAAAAGTCTGTAAGTCAAGTCTCCATTGACCTACAGTGCATTGAAAACCGATTAATCCCGTAACAGGCCATTTTTGTTCCATTTTGGGTTTTTTCTGGTCTGTAAGTCAAATCTCAGTCTGCAAGTCAAACCTAAATTTTGCGGCCAGAGAAGTCTGTAACTCAAAAAGTCTGTAAGTCAAGCCGTCTGTAAGTCAAGGGTCCACTGTACTGGCTAATATCATTTACATGAAAAACATTCTAGGATATTCTTAGAATCCAACACAAATGACTACTTACCTATCCACATACCAAATCCCAATATTAAGAAACTGCTAGGATTGTCCAGTTTAAATCAATTATTTGATATCTGTCTGGCTGCCAGTTCATCATGGTTTAATGGGACTCTGGAAACAGCCATATTCATAAAAACTAGTTTTTGGACAGGGTCTCACCTGGTCTCTTCATCGTCCCATGCAATTCTCATGCCTTTCCCACCACCACCTGCTGAAGCCTTGATCATGACAGGATAGCCTAGCAGCAGGGAACAACAAACAGAAGCTCAGACTTTGATCAGTAAGTCATATAACAACTGACCAGATGTCCAATAACACTGTAGACAAAAAATATGTTTTTAAAAAGCTAATTGTTTAGAAAGGAATTTTAAGATTGTAGTATCATCAGTGACAATCATCTTCTGAATTTCAATATATCAATTTTACATAATAAAGTTTTATATAAAGATTAGTAAGAGCTAAAATAGTAGCACTGTGCACTATTACAAAGTTTTACAAGTTTTCTTTCCACCAAAAGATTTTGAAGGCAGTTAATATTATTTTTAAAAAATCAAGATTTATCTAAAAAACAGCAAATACAATTGAAGATGACAGAAGAAACCAGCCATAAAACATGTACAAGAAAATTAATAACATAATTTGAATCATTCAGATCTAAATACAGTACTACATTTTCACTGTTTGACAAAAATCAAGCAAAGATATAAACTCTGGGAAGAACCTTCCATACCTCAAAAAATGAAGGCGAGTGAGTGTCCATTCACCAATAGATAAGGAGATAAATAAGCATATAGCTCAGAAGGTTACTTTAAAAATTAGTTCCATTTTAATTATATGGACATGGCCAGCAGATGGTTACTATTATACAGGCATTTTATAAAAGCTCTTTACTCCCTTTTTCAAAACAACTGAGATAGTTACTTTTAGTTTCTTTTAAAAACACAAATATTAATCATTTTCATTCAGCACAGTATGAGCCAAAATAGAAGGTAAGAGCTAACAGTTCAATCACCAATATTGCTCTTCCTCTGTTTAGTGATGCTTCATCCCCATAAATATGCAAATTACTAAAAAGACTGTAACAATACAAAAAGAATGAAGTTTTCTCATTTTAAGTTATATTGTAATGTACTTGCACTTTTACTAGGCAAAGGAACTAACTATAAGTATCTAGGTATTTACATATCATTAGCTGTAAGCTCCGAATGAAAGACTTGTTAAAGGAGCACATAGAAAAGTACCTCAAGTGTCACCTTTCCTTCACTCAAAGATCTAAATCAACAATTCTCAGTCTTTTTTGGCCACAGCCATAAACACAATGGGAAATACAGGCTGAATCAGGATTCCATAAGTCACGTGAACTTTATAAGGTGGTGTGTGAAGAATAGTTTCTAGTTTACAGCCCCCTTCTAATGTACCGGGGGGGGCTAAGGAGCCATATAGTTCCTGTTGAGAATGGCTAATATAAGTGACACCTAATATAAGATTCATGTGCATACATAAGGATCCTCATTATTTGCTATATCTTGATACCTTTTTACTGTCCTTTTATTAAACTTTTACTTTTAATACTAACACAAATATTTTTGTATGCCTTGGAAGCTATATGTCCTTAAACGGTGGAAGGAAGGAGAAAAAATAAAACATGAAAGAAAGGAAAGAAGAAAAAGAGAATTGAAAAATGTTAGTCTATACTGAAAAATAAAATGTTATAGGTTTTTTTATCAAAAACCTTCTGGTCTATAGCAAAAGAGTTTCATTTGGTAGATGCATGGAGGGCAACACATATAAAAGAGAAATATTATACTGTACATTCTATTCAAATTTGCGCAATACATGGTCTAGAATAGATGCATGCTGGATTCCAATAAGTTGGATAAAAATGATGAAGACTATAGACATACTACCAAGAACTTTGCTGATCATAGTCCAGTTATCTTACAACTGAATATACAAAATAAAACATCGTTTTAGAGAATGAACACTAGTCTTTTGCAAAATGAAGTTTTTAAGAAAGAAGCAATGCAAGAAATGTCTTGGTTCTTTAAGGAAAATAAAACTCCAGATGTACCAATGAGAGTAGTCTGGGATGCAGGAAAAGCAAAGCTAAGAGGGATAGTTTTAAAGAATGCAGCAAGACAAAAAAGATGAAAAAATAGAAAAATACAAAGAATTAGAGAAAACACTCTTCCAATTAGAACAACAGTCAAAACAAAATAGCTCAGCTGGAAAACTAGTAGATAATATGAAATCAGTACAACATCAAATAAATCTATGGTCGGGGTCAGAAATGGCAATGAAGATAAAACAAACCAAACAATTTTTTTTTTAAAAAGCAAACAAACCAGGCAAATGGCTTGCCTATAGACTGAGAAAAGAACAAACAAGAAATCAAATTATAAACTTTAAAGACCAGGAAGGAGAGGCCAAATGGGAGCAGAAGAAAATTTTAAAAAATTGTCAAGGATTTCTATCAAGCACTATACGAAGAACCAGTGAAAGCAATAATAGAGCAAAGATAATATCTACATAAGTTTCAGTTAGAGAAATTACCTAAAGAAAATATAGAGATCTTGAATTCCTCAATAACGATGTGTGAAGTGGTGGAAGCTATTAGAAAACAAAAGAATAATAGATTTCCAGGAAGTGATGGAATACCGGCTGAATATTACAAGAATTTTGAAGAATTAATAGAAGAAATAGAAATAGAAATTCCCACTTCATGGAAAGAAGCAATAATTTTAGTGATACATAAAGAAGGTACAGATCAATCAGAAATCCAAAACTATAGACCAATTTTGTTATTGAATGTAGATTATAAAATTTTTGCATCAATATTAGCAAACAGATTGAAAAAAGTTTTTGTGCAGATCATTCATCAGCATCAATCAGGATTCTTACCAAAAAGACAAATGAAAAACATTATCAGGATAGCATTGAATGTCTTGGAATACTAAGAAGCCCACTCTGAAAAACAGATGGCATTAATATTGTTTGATGCAGAGAAGGCCTTCAACAATATGAACCGGAATTTTTTGCTGACACAGCCACAATTAATGGAAGCTGGAGATAAGTTTATAGGAGAAATTAAAGCAATATATTCTAAACAAGAAGCAAGAATCAAAGTGAATGGAGAGCTGACAGAAACAATTCAAATTGAAAAAGGCACAAGGCAAGGATGCCTGCTGTCCCCCCTACTGTTTATTCTCATGTTGGAAATCCTGAACCAACAAATCAGAGAGAATAAGAGAATCAAAAGTTTAAAGGTTAAAGTAGAGGATTTCAAAATTCAAGCCTATGCTGATGATTTAGTAATAACCTTAGAAGAAGCTATGATGTCAATAGAAACATGACTGAATATAGATGTATGTCAGGTCTTAAAATAAATAAACAAAAAATAAAAATTCTGATGAAAAATATGACAAAAGACAAAAAAAATTACAAAAATACTCCGGATGTCAAGAAACATGTAAGGTTAGGTACTTAGTAATTAATATGATAAAAAAAACCCAGATACATTAATAAAGGACAATTATATGGAAGTAATGAAAGAAATCAAAGTAGTTTTGCAGAAATGGTCTAAATTCCAATTATCCCTAATGGGTAGAATAGCCACAATAAAAATGAATATACTACCAAAGCTAGTTTTCCTCTTTCAGACAATTCCAATATTATTAAAACAAAATATTTAAAAGGACTAAATAAGATAATGACCAAGTATGTTTGGGATGGGAAAAAAACAAGAATAAAACTTAAGGCTCTTCAGGACAATAAACAAAGAGGAGGGTTTGGCCTACCAGACTAGATGAATTATTACAGAGCAGCAGCTCTGTCCTGGGTGAGGGGATGGGTTATTCTACAAAATGGGAGACTTTTAAAAATTGAGGGGCATGAATTAAGGCTAGGCTGGCATGCCTACCTATGGTATCAAGATGATAAGCAATGCAAAACATTTTATATTTGATCAGGAGAGCTCTGTTATGGGTTTGGAAGACAGTTAAGGCACAACACTATAGAAAGATACCATTATGCGTAGCTCCATTAGAACCATTCTCTGATCCAGCAAGAACATCTCAAGGGACAAACGGGAGATATGCTGAGATATTATATAGTGATTTTAATCTAAATAACAAGGATGAACTGGCAGAACAAGGTATTATCTTAGATTGGTGGTCAATAAACTTGTTGAAATCAGGATATGTAAAAGATAAAGCTACAGGGCTTCAGAAAAACAAAATACCTTTGGATAAGGGGTTGCTGGACTCAGAAGAAACATTGATTAAAGGTTTATATAATACTTTAATCAAGCAAAAAAAATGAAGACAAAATTGTGAAGGATTGCATGGTAAAGTGGGCTCAAAATATAGGTC